GGGTGGGTGGTTGGGTGGTTGGGTGGTTGGGCGGTGTGCATGGTTGGGTGGTGTGTGTGAGAGGGTGGGTGGGTGGTGGTGGCTCGTGTGCATGGGTGTGTGTGTCTGTGTATGTCTGTCTGTCTATGTGTATGTGTATGTGTGTGTGTGTCCCCGTGTTTGTGTGCGTGTCACGTGTTTGTGTCTGTGCTTGCAACAAAATTAAAAAGAGCACGTGACGAAAAAAAAACAAAAAACAAACACGAAAGCGGGAAATAACGAAAACAAAAGAAAAAAAAAAGTCGCGGCTGCGGGAAACGGCAAACTTCGAGGCGCACACGCGGGCACTCGGGCAGGGTCGCACGCTGTGTACCCGTGCGTTGTTTCTCGGAATTCAACATATTTTCAGTGTTTGCCACTCTTTCGGTTCTCCACACTATACTACCGGCAGCCCTGATGAAACCGTGTTACCGGTCCCCCAAATTTCTTGACGTCGGAAGGAGTTGTGGTTTAACAGAATGAGCCTTCAAAAAAGAAATGAAAAAAAATCATTATTGACCCGCCTACCACACTGTGCGACGTTAGACAACCAGTCCCCCCGGCGTAAAAAACCTCGGGGGTACCTATAGCGGCGTTTCACGACGGGTACCGGTAGTACACAATGAAAAACCGAACGGGCCTTGAAAATTGAATTTGTGAAAAACAAAACGAATCGGCGTGTCGCTTACTTCACGGTCAAAATATTTTTTTTTAAATTTTTTCTGATATTTTTCCTTGAAAGATCACGACTTAATCTACGGACATGTAATTTTTCAGCCGATTTGGTGAATTCTTCTAAGCTACAAAAATCGCCAAAGTTACCGCTTGCAAATGGCAGGATTGGACTGGGCGGGCCACGAAAATTGACTTTGCGAAAAAAAACGAATCGGCGCGGCGTTTAGTTCACGGTCAAATTGATTTTTTTAATTTTTTCTGATAGTTTTTTTTGAAAGAACACCACTTAATCTACCGATACACAAATTTTCAGGTGATTTGATAAATTCTTGTGAGCTACAAAAATCGCCAAAGTTACTGCTTGCAAATGGCGAGATTGGACCGGGCGGGCCACGAAAATTGACTTCGCGAAAAAAAATGAATCGGCGCGGCGCTTATTTCACAGTACACATGATTTATTTATTTATTTTTTGATATTTTTCCTTGAAATATCATGACCTAATCTATGGACCCTTAAATTTTCAGACGATTGGATGAAATCGTCTGAGCTACAAAAATCGTCAAAGTTACCACTTGCAAATGGCGGGATTGGACCCGCCGGTGACGAACGGTCGCCGCCCCTCCGTAGAACCTGGCCCTAACTCACAGGGACTGGGGTTTTTCGGCAGCTGGGGGACTGGTGGTCTTAGCTTTCGACACACAGGCATATCCGGACGTGCCAGCAGCCTAATGCGGATACATTTCAAAAGAAAGCAGTCCCCTAAAACATACAGGGACCCAGTCCGCCTCAATGGTTATCTCAATGAGCAATTCATTATTTCAAAATCCGTACGTGGGTTAAGGCGGTGCGCACGTGGTGAGCGGGATACGTTCTAGTCGACCGACGACGAGTCGCGCTTGGGACCTCAGCCCCCTAAGATGTCGGTTCGCGTGCGGGTCCGATAGAGGCGTATTACCGCGCGTACCCCCTATGCTACAACGAACGAGAAACGCCCTCGGCTGGTCCACCTCTGCGATTGCAACCGATCAACTTTCGTACTGTGGACTAGTAGCTCCGCAGGGATACGCCCACCGAAAGGAGGTGACAGCTCGCGCAAGGTGGAGGTAAGTCGTGCCTCGCGTGGGCCATGTCTTGTCGTAGGGGCTCGGGAGAGGTATGGCTGGCGCACTCGATTGGAGCGGCTTGCGGAAGCTCCATGTATGTTCGCGACGAGGATTAGAGTCCAACTCCTGAGTGACGCGACCGGGAGGGTCCCGCGCTGCCCCCGTGCGATGCCGGACCGATTCGCTCGACAGTGGTTATTCATAAGGCGGTGGAGTTCCGATTCGCACATTCTAGGGCGGCATGAGTATGAGCTAAGGTCTATGTATCAAACACTATGATAAAAATAAGAAAAAATATAAAGAGAATTAAAATGAGTGAGTGTGGCAACACCTTTTCAACACCGCCATCTTTTCCGATTTTTAATTATTTTTTGGCATTCACAAATGCCATGAAAATTTACAGATATGTAGTTCACATAATCAATAACTCATTAAAATATTTTAAAAAAATAATAAATATTTTTAGGCCCTGAAATAAAGTGAAAACTAAAAGTTAAAAGTGAAAAAAAACAAAATAGTGATTGGGCGAGCACGTTTTGACAGCCCCATCTTTGACAATTTTGAATTTTTTTCTGGCATACCAGAATGGCTTCAAACTTTATACGCGTGTAGGGTACATCATAAGGAACTCACAAAAAAACATTCGGAAAAAAAAACTTATTGTCAGGCCCCGAAAAAAATTTTAACGGGGGCCGAACCTGGAGGTGTTCGGCCCCCGAACGTCTGGTCAGGTAACCCTGTATATATATATATATATATATATGTTTATATATATATATCGTCACAAACAGAACTGCCCGGTAAATCGTAGGCAGAGAGAGAGAAGAGGACAACAAACGAGGGGCTGTGACAAATATATATATATAAGGTCAGGTAACATTGTATATATATATATATATTTATATATATATGGGCATGTAGATAAAAAAAAGCTCTACACGCCTATGATTTTTAATATTTCTTTTTGATATTTAATAGAAAGAGGGGGAAAAAAAAACGAAAAAAAAAAAACCAAGTGGAGATGAAATTTTTGTTTTCATATTTTTGGTTTATTGGGCCGGTGGCGAGACACTGCCCCCCCCCCCCCCCCACACACAATCAATNCCCCACACACAATCAATCAATCAATCAATCAATGAATCAATCCCAATCAATTAATCTATTTGATTGATTGATTGATTGATTGATTGATTGATTGATTGATTGATTGATTGATTGATTGGGCGATTGATTGATGCGGTGATTGATTGATTCGTTCGACCAGACTCACCACGCTACCCTGATTTCCCATTGCGAATGCGAGTCGAAAGCGCCTCCGCATCCCGAGTACCACATCACCCATGCTCAATACCCTTCCCGTCATAACTAGTTACCTCTCCCCTCGTACACAATACGGGCAGAATTGACAGCAAAGCCCGAAGGATATTTATGTCAATCCCCATTATGGCGAGAATGACTCAAAATTATCCAGCCGTAGTCTGGAGCATTTATTCCAACCACAACCCATTAGATGAAAAACACTGCCAAAGCAAGATAATCGTAATTATGAAAAGGAAGATCCCATGGAGCCAGATAACATACATCATTATATGGTACCCCCAGTTCACAACCACACTTATGTTTGAGTGACTTCCTTCCTTGTAGTGATGGCTACCATCATATGTTCTTAGTATACTATATCCCACAAGAAAAATATCATACACCACAACTATGGTCCCTTATATCCTTTACCGTACGAGTCCATCATACAACATACATCATCAACGAGCAGTGTGAGTCCAAATGAAGTTATGCCAATGTCTTTCGTGAATTTCTTCAAATGCTTTCCAATTCCTCTCAGTTTTCTTCGGTGTATAATAATATGAGAGGATATCCACAACCTATCGAAGGCTCTGAACTGTTACCAGTTACGACAACACTGAACGAATACGATGCAATTGCAAATTTGCAAATCATGAAGCTATTGAGTCTATTGCGATCCTTCCTCTAATGCCCTGTATGTCGTCCATTGTGAAATTGAATGGTGGCACCTTGCCTCTCGCTAGAAGAGATGTATAAGTGAGCATAAACACTCCGCACTGACTCGCGTCCTCCTGTTTCGGAATGCCATCACTTCCAAAGTGTGTTCGAAGCACGATACGTCTATTGGTCGGCCCTAGTGCGTTGAGCGCTCTAGTAAAAATCACGCGAAGTAGCCTGTCACCTGTTTAGCTAACTTCGTGTTTGTATTTATTGAATCGTAATACTCTATCACATTCCGTCGACGTTCGGCCGCAACAAGTGTCCAGTGTTTCTTTTTCGTATCGTGATATGACACTAGAATCAACTCCGTGTCTGCTATGATGACATCCCGAAACCATCTAGCAACTTTGTTGTACTTATATTCCATGTTCCTGCCTAGAAGTTTAGTGAAAAAGTATGAGTTTTATGCAGCTGTGACGGGGATCGTCCTCGTGCTACATAGATTGGACTTGTCAAACTGATTGTCACATTCGTGATGAAATGTTCTGCAATTGTTGTCATGCAGAATCATTTTCATATAGAAATTCACAATGTTGTCGTTCAACCACTCGTTCTCGTTCATGAGGATGCTGAAATCATACACGGTGAATAACAACTGCTCTCCACTAGCTTCATTCTTCGTGCTTGTCAATGTTTTCGTATTATTCAGCTCTATACTCATGTGGCGTAATGCCTCTTCTCCGGTCTCATTGAGGGCGTCCGTTGCTAAGTGAATAGTCCAACCATGTACACAGCTGCGTTCGCCTTCATTGCACTGGTTAACTGCATCACCGAACAACGATTTGAACTATTTGTTGCTAATGTCTGTTTGCACTACATCCATTCAAACCGTGTTTGTTGAACACTCCGTAATTTTATGTTGCACTTTAGCGTCTACTCTGTGTGTGTATGAATGTTTCGTGTGTGTGTGGTTATGTGTGTGTGTATGTGTGTGTGTGTGTGTGTGTGTGTGTACGTGAGAGAGAGAGAGCCAAAGAGTAAGAGAGAGAGGGGAAAAAAAAAAAGAGAGAGAGAGAGAGAGAGAGATCCGCCACCATCCTTTTCTCATTATAATATTGCTTAATTAATAAACTGTTATTCTTCCTCCTCAAACAGTTCGTTGGAAAACTGAATGGAATATTTCACAACTCAAGCACTTTTTCTCGATCGACGTCATCAAATGATAAATGTACCTTAGGAATATTCCATTAAGCACCGACAACCGAATCTCTTGTACAGAGAGAGAGAGCCAAAGAGAGAGAGA